ATAAATTAAAAAATCAGCCGGGCATGGTAGTGCATGCCTGTAATTCTGGCTACTCGGAAGCCTGAGGCAAAAGGATTGCCGGAGCCCAGCAGGGAGGCTGTGGTGGCCGTGGCCGGAAGCGGCCACTGCACTCCACTCTGGGCGACCGAGTGAGACTCCAACTCAAAAAAAATAAAATGAAATAAAATGGTATAGAAAGAATGCAGAGGATCATCTACAAAATTCCTAAGGAAGAGGCAAAGGTCATTTGTGGAGACTTCAAATTCATATGGCATCTGATACTAAAATAAAAACTTAGGCAAAAAGTAAATGTTGTTTAGTATTACTTGATAATTTTTAAAGCAATGTTGTCAAGTTGGAAATGTATTTTAATGAATAAAATCAGACTGGCAAAGGTTAATTAACAAAAAGCATCACTAACTTTACTAAGCGCTAGGATATTGATGTGATATTTGTTAAATATGATCATTTTATATATGAAAACACATTTTAAAAAAAGTTTTTAACCTACCTCCACGAGAGGCAAGGACATTACCATCATAGGAAAAAGTCACACAAGAAGTATCTGTGCCTGGGTCATGAGCCTGTTTATAGTGGAACTTAGGATGAACCTGTTTGTAAAGATAAGCAGAGTTAACATCTCACTTAGACTCTGAAGAAAACATTTTTATGTCAAGAATATTTCACTTCATCATGACAAAAATGATATACATCTTTAGGTAAAGTATTACTTCACATGATTACAGTTTGCTTTTCTTCTGTGAAAAAAAAAAGAGAAATTCAAAAGGCTTTATAAAAATAGCCATTCTCTTTAATAAAGAAGAGAGAAGGTAAGTCCTAGCAGGGGACATTTTTCAGACCACCTTAGCAAACTGTGAGTAACACAAGATGATGGTTGCATTTAGTTCTTCATATTATGCTTATAAAGTTATTGGGACCATTTCCTGTATTTATCTGAAAGAGCAAATATAAATAAAAATTACGAGTGAGCATATTATTTACCACAAAATATTTGTTATATTCCCAGTATATGGCAGACACTGTACACATCATTGTAGATCTTGAACTATCTTTAATGTGCCTGTTGGATGATGATGATAATATTAATAGCAATAGACACTAACCCTTACAAAATGCTTACTATATTCTTGACACTATATCCTGTACTACCTTGCCCATTTAGTGCTCACAATCACTCTACAAATGAGGTTTTACTATTATCATCCCCATTTTATAGTTTAGAAAACTGAAGCACAGAGACTTAAGTACCTTGTCCAAGACCACACTTTGTTTTTTGTTTTTTGGGTTTTTTTTTGAGTTAGAGTCTCACTCTGTCACCCAGGCTAGAGTGCCATGGTACACTCATGGCCACCCCAGCATCGACCTTCTGGTCCCCGGCGGTCCTTCCACCTTTGCCTTCCAAGTAGCCAGAACTACAGGCGTGTGCTACCACGCCCGGCTATTTTTTAATTTATTGTACAGACGAGGTCTGGCCAAGTTGCCTGGGCTGGTTTCGAACCTGCAGGCTCAGGCAATCCACTTACCTTGGCCTCCCAAAGTGCTGGGATTACAGGCTGAGCCACCGAGCCCAGCCAGCCACACAGTTTATAAGTAGAAGAGCTCCCTTTGAGCCAACAAAAAGCCTACTCTTAGATACTTCACTATAACCTTTCTCTTATTGGTCTATTTTAATAATCTTTTTACTTCTAATGTAGCTTTTGCACAGCTCATGGCTTAAAAGTAATTTTACTATACTAATCTTGACATTCAATAATGACTCAGCAACCAGCACAAAGTACTAGGAAATCAATTATCTCAAAAATATGGTCTATAGGTAATTGTTTTTTTATTGCTGGGTTGTGAATTTTTAATATATTCTAGATGCTGGCCCCTTATCAGATGTATACTTTGCAAATATTTCTGTCTATTCTGTGGGTTGTCTTTTCATTCTCTTGACAGTGTCTCTGGAAGCACAAAAGTTTTTAATTTAAATGAAGACTAATTTGCATTTCTTTTCTTTTGTTGCTTGTGCCTCAGGTATCAAAACTAAGCAACTATTGCCTAATTCAACTATTCAGAGATTTAAACCTGTTTCTTCTAGGAGTTTTGTGTTTTGCATTTGGGTTTTTTATCCACTTTGAGCTCATTTTAGTATGTGATGTGAGGTAGGGATCTAACTTTATATTTTTTTGCATCTGGATGTCCAGTTGCCTCAGCATTATTACTTTAAAATACTATTATATTCTCCATTAGTTGTCCTCACATCTTTGTTTTTAAAAAAATGACTAAAATGGTTAAAAAAAAAAGTATGGTCTACATGAACAAAGACCATTAAAAACCATGTTCTCTACATAGCTATCATTAGTAGAATACCTTCTACCATAGCTAAGTGTGTGTGTATGTGTGCACATGCATGTGTGTGTGTATGTGCTACTGTGCATGCATGCACACATGCCACACTGGGTAATGATACAATGGTTATGGTCATTACCAATCTTTTTAGGGTAATATCATAGTGAAAGACGGAAGCATTGCTAATAATGATGGCATGTGAGTCTCTCCTGATATGGGAATGCAAGTGACCCCATTTCCACTGGTCATATAGCAAACCTAACAAAGAACAAGTCACAAAACAGAGTTCATATACTTTATATGAGTTTTACCAACAATATTCCTGACACCTGGCCACTGGATATCCTATCAACTGCTAAACTCTAAATGAAATTCTTGAACGATCTTATAAACAGTGGTGATAGTTTACCAAAGAGTCTGCTTACATTTGACCTCTCAGTGAATTTAACTTAGTTTTTGTTTGTTTTAAAGTTTTATTTGTTTTTAATGCTAATAAATACACAGACATATCTAAAGAGGAGAAAGACCTATCATTTCATGAATGGTAAGGCAGGCAATGCAGTACAGTAAAAAGAGCACTGGGCCAGGAAACAGGAAGCACAAAATCTAGACTCAGTTCAGGCAAAAACTAGTAGGGTGATGTGGGACAAATTACTTAGCTTCTCTGGTTCACAATCTTCTGTAACTAAAGGAATTAAAGTAAATGATTTCCAGAGTCATTTACAGCTCTTTCTTACATCTATTCATGGATCCTGGTCCTACCTTCTATGGCTCTGCTGACTAAATCTAGTTTTTCTTTTCTGATATAGTCAGACAAGTTCTCAAAGAAAACTGCTGTATCTTCCACAGCGTGTTAAATATGCTACTTTCTGAAATCCTCAATAATCTAAACATTCTATGGTGACACCTAGGGTCAATGAGTTCACATCCAGCAGCTACCTGTATCCCCAATGTTAGCCCACTGCGCTAGTGTATGTCTATGAATGCAGAAGGACAGTTAAAACACCTTTCATAATAAACAGAAACAGTGGAATAAACTGTATTAACAAAATGTAAATGAATACTGTGCTGAAAATAGAGAAAAAATTAATAGAATACTGGTCCTAGAGCTGGGTTGACTTGGCCTAAGATTTTAGCTTATGATATTTATGTTTAACCTTGTCCAACCTGCTTGACCTTTCTATTTCTTAGTTTATTAATCTTCAAAATAACATGCTTTGCATATTCCCACCCCCATCCTTCTCCCCAACTTACAAAAAGACTGCTATCTCCCTGCCTTGAGTCAATACCACACAATTATTAAGTCTATAGTGGTTACCTCCTCTCAAAAAAGTTCTAATGCAACTATGCTACAAAACACAAATTCTGAGAACAATATGAACCAAATGCTAGACTACCTAACAAACTGGATGTGCCAACATTTGGCTGTCTCCTCAAATCTATTCCTATGACCTCTCAGTAGATAGAAATTTTCTTTCTCATTGGGAATCTATTTTCAGTCTTAGTGATAAGCAAACAAGTCAGTCCAATAAATTCTGTTTTCAATCATATATTAGGATTACTTACTATACCAGTATTAAATATATGCCAGAGCTTTTTTGGTATGCCAAGATTAATAAATACAAGTCAAGACTGAATATCATTTCCTCCCATTTCTCTGATTTTGGAGACTTGTAGGGAGGATAATGTAGCTAACATGAACAAAAGTGTAAGAAATGACATATAAAGGTGCTTTGCAAATCCATATTCATTTAACTAATATTTACATGCCAAGTATTATCTCAGGCACTGAGGATATAGCAGTGAACAAAATTAAGATCCTATTCCTTTGAAGGTCTCATTTTAAGTGAAGGGAAAAGGACAATAAAACACCTCTGATAGAGTCTTTGATATTCAAATTATTAATAATATACTGTATTAAAGTATGGCATAATAATAAAGAGCACAGACTGTGAAGTTAGACTGTCAGGTTCAAATCCTGGTTTTACCATTTACCATTTATATAATCTTGGACTAGTTCATTTCCCTTTGCCCATTTATTCATCTATTAAATGAGAATAACAATAGCACACACTTCATAAGCTGTTGGGAGAATTTAATGAGTTAATGCAAGTACAGCACACTCCTCTACAACTCAGTTTCGCTGTTCTTTTTACCAAGATGTGACATCTATTTCTTTATACCTTGTGTCTAGGTATGAAATCATTACTTGCAGTGGCTTATAGGACATGTGGTCATGAAAATGTGCCTCTCAGATTTCCCTCTGTGAAAAGCATAACTAACTGACACTCTCATGCTTCCCAAGGCCTGTTCCCAGGTATGCTTCCCAAGGTCTGTTTCCAGCAATGCCTGAATATAGAGGATAAAAGGACTACTAATTAGCTTGACTATAACTTTCTTAGCATTGTGCTGCAGTCCTAGACCCTTTCTACATAACCCTTCTTTGCTTTTAATATAAAAGAAAAATAGTTGAAATACAATTAATGTACCATGCAACTTGCCAACTTCAAGTGTGTAGTTCATGTTTTTTAGTATATTCAGAAAATTGTACAACCCCTGTTAACTATCAATTTTAGAACATTTCCACCACCTCAGAAGGAAACCCCATACACATGAGCAATCACTGCCCAATTTACCCTAACTACTCAGCCCTTAGCAACCACTAATTTAGCTTCTGTTCCTGTAGATTTGCCTATTCTGAACACTGCATATAAATAATAAAATACACTGTGTTCTGTGACTGGCTTCTTTCATTTAGCATACTGTTTCTGAGGTTCATCCATATTGCAATATGTTTCAGCACTTCATGTCTTTTTATTGCCAAATAATATTACAATGTGTGGATAGTCCACATTTTATTTACCCATTCATAAGTTGATGGATACTCAATATTCCACTTGTCTTCTCCCCTTCACACAGGCTGATCTACGTCAAGGTCTGACTCTCTCCAACCTCCTCTGGCTCCTTACCCATTTTCTCTTATTGTTGTTTTCCAAATAAATCTCCTATACATTTAATCCTGTCTTGATCTCTGCTTCTCAGAGGACCTAGACTAACACAAGTGGTGCCAGGAGTGGTTTGATAACACAGGAGGTTATTATGAGAATCTGTGACTGCCTTTGGTGGGCAAAGAGGATACCGTCCTAAGTAAAATAAGGAATGCAAGCAGACCATAGCACTTAGTAGTGGTCCAAGTGCTGCAGATTTCACTGGCGGTGACCTGAGTGGAGGGAATGTCCTCATGAGTGCAATAACTTTT